ATCCAAATTTGGGAAGCCGTGTCTCACCTTAGCAAGAAAACCACCCCAGTCGAGCATATTGATATCGATAGCTACTCACACAGATCGTACCACACTCGCTCACTCAGAATCAGTTTTGGTGCGCTCACAGTGAATGAAAAAGCCGAATGAATATTGGAATGTGAAGAGCAAATTCAAGGGGAAGATGGAGAGTTTATATAGAGTGGTGTCGCAAGACTAATGAGTAGATGCATGTGTGCCACTGTTTGCGACACCCAGCCATATCGCTCAGTGTCTCTAACCACCAGTTATTATGATCTCGGAGCTTACGTTACCTACATGACCGAGTCCCATGGTTAGGGTTTTCATACCCCACGCTAGGCCTCAGCTCGACCATATGTGTATTCAATATATCGTACGTTGTTAGACAATAACGTCCATCTGCAGTTGCCTCTTAACTACGTACGAATCGATCTTCCCGCACAAACACATCCTTAAAAAATAGCTCTGAATTGAATAAACAAGATGATTAATGGTGTTAATGGACACACACGCTCAAATAGAATATCGATCCATTGAAAATGACAAAAATAAACCTACAGTTGTCATTTTAATGTAAAAAGATTTGTTGATAACTTCACAGATGCCTATTGAGTGAGAAATGGCATCATTTCGTCTGGGATTATGAGAGACACCAAGAAGTTCGTTAACGGACAGTGCTAGTTCCAGTTGCAACAAGAATGCGATTTCGAAGTGAAACTTTAATCGCAACCAATCAACATAGAACAGATTACCCCCTACCCTCCAATGACTCAATTGTGTGCACGAAACGGAACACAGATAGATGAAAAAATACAATTCACCAACATTTTAGCCACTACAATGAACTAGATGTGAATTTTGCAAAACTTCACAAAATCGCTTGAATTTCTTTCCAACAAAGTAAACCGGATGAATTCTGTTTAATTTTGCTATGCAGCAAAGGGGTTCAGATTCATTTTGTCTGCCTACTGTTAACTGCCAAAGCAATAAACACACAGGTAACAACGACAGCAGCATTAAAACTATTTATATTGTTTAACACTCTTCTCTCTTATACAAATGCATAATACAACATGCATGGAGAGTTTTATAATATCAAAACGGTCTGATCAGCTGCCCTAGGTTAAGTGCATAGTCACGTTGGGTTCTACCTGTGACTTCCCGGGTTCGACTCCCAATCGGATTGACGGGTTCACACTGGTGACAAGACAAAACCAGGTCAAAACACCTTTCATTTGGTTTTTGTCCAGAAAGTTTCCGATATAGTATCACTCATGTGAGGGATGGAGGATTTGATTCAATTTCAAAGCGAAATTCACCGTATATATAGTAGTAAATGATCCACAGTTGGGTTAATGGATTCGCCCTAATGATGAGACTAAACCAGGTCGAAACAGCAGTCCACTGTTTCCTAACTTTTCAGTTTACGCATAATTTTGCATTTGAACTAGTATCACACAACTCAACTACCGTGAACTTTTGTAAACCACATAACCACCACTATAACGAAATAAAACTGTGATCTTTCATTTCAAAACCATTAATCAGAACATCACAGTTAACCAATCGTGTTCATCGCAATAGACTACTTTGATAATTTTAAACTCTGCATATAGCCGCAATAGCTCCTGAACTTATCAAGAACAGGCTTCATTCACTACTATATTTTCTTCCGGTCAGGATATGACGATTAAATGAACTCTAAAAACTTTCTTGTTCCAAAATTTAACCCATGATTGGGCAAAACCATATTTCAAAATCACTGTGAACGTACAGTAGAAATCCGTCTAACCATGAAGGTAAAAGAGTAAAATCATTTTGGGTTCGGCTGTGATTCCATCTCATCCCAAGTATGTGCTGTCCAAAGTGTGTGATATTTTTCATGACCATTAAATCCAGTCGAGCGAAAAACGATCAGCTGAGTAGGCAACACATTGCAGCGGTTGTTTGAATGAAAGTGTCCGAGTTTGCATGAAAAAACAACAACAGATTCGGGAAAAAAAACCACGCAACGTATCGTTTTTCGTACCTCAAGTGCGAGCGAGTACCGCAAATATGAGACCCTATTCGGTGACCGGCACAACTATGTTCCGGATGATACCGCAATCGAAAACGATTTCGTTTACCCTAAAACTGACATTTGTATTCGCGAAGCTCACTGGAACTATAGAGTCTGAACCTTTGTTTTTCTAATCCACATTTCAAACATTTCACTTTGTTCTTTTGTTTTGAGTCGATTAATAAATGCTATCTTTTCATTGATATTTCACTCAAATTAACTTTTCAATTTCTTTTTTTTATCCGCTTAGTTTTTTCCAAGGTACCGGTTACACGGATTTAGGGGGCCTGTCAGAGCGCATTTGGGCGTTTTCATCCGCTTCTATCGGAGTGGTTTTGCATTGTAAACATAACTTCGACCTTCAGATCCACTCGCTGGGTACATGATTGTCTCTGACAATGTAACTAGGCTATGCAGGACAGGCTCATTCTCACAAAAAGCGGTGGGAATTTATCTTGACTGTTTGTTAATATGTGAACTTCCCTTGCATCATCTCAAAATTTGTGCTGGCTAACTGACGCATGTTTGGACCACACAAAGCCAAACAAGCTGCAACAGTTCACCTCACATTTCAACCATTATTCTTGATTTGTTTGCATACGCAGTGCATTCACATGGGCACAAGAAAATCCATTAACTGAACTGGTCGTGTTCTGGACGTACAGGATCAGATGCATTCTGCTCTATCTGCCTATCAGGTAATCCGCAGGTCGTAAACTAGATAATTGTGACTGGATGTAGTATCAGTAAGAACTAATTTGACAGCAGGTAAACTTGATTGCATTATTTCCGCCATAGAGTTTCAGCTAAGATGAATGCTTCATAAACAGTGCGGAAATGACGTTCAAAATAGTTCTTCATATCTTTCTTTTATTTTCTTGTTACTTCCTTTTATTGATTATGCAAAGACACAATTTTCAAAAAGGGGGAAGCGGTCAATCAAACGGCTGTTATTTAACACAATGGAGAAAGTTTCGCGGTGGTGGTGGGATTCGAACACACATTCCCGGGATGATAATTTGGCGACATTACCACCGGACCACCACCGCCCATCGTGATCGACTTGGTCTAATAGTGAAGTAAGCGTAATGAAGAGCCAGCACAACTTAGGGCGCCTCACATTTAGGTGTCCCTATTGAGGTGAGACACGAAAAATCACCGCGGAAAAGATTTGGCTTCTTTCAACTGGATTCGACTGGATTGAGATATGCGTTGAGATGCGATATCCCGTTCTCTCGGTGTGTACACATTAAAATCCATATTGGTGAGGTCGAACGGCATGAGCATCGGTTATGTAATGCAGTGAAGTGAAGGTGTCCACTCCAGCCCCGAACTTTCATGGTAGATAGATGGAAAAATAGTACGGCCTGGTGATGAGTAGTCTTCATAAGATCGCTACTACTGACCAGTACTGTTGACTGGCCCTCACGCACAAAAGTCTTTCATCACTTGAAGTGAGGCTTTTCAGACTGGGCCAGTTGGCACATTTGCGGTAACATCAGCCTCAGATAATGTTGTTATGAGATGAACTGAGTTTCCCTGAACACATATTTGAATTTCGGCTGTAAAATAGTTTTCCTTTTAACTAAACTGTAAGAAAACAGGATGGAGTATATCACTGCTCAACGTTGGTGGAATGCCGATGTTTCCCAGAGTATCTTATGTCCATCTGTGATGTCCTATAGTACCTACTTTTTTACTTCACTGTGTTTGGCTCCTTGGAAAGGATAAGCCGGCTCGAGACATGATCATGAAGTTCCTTGGGAGTTGAGTACAAGAGACATCCCGAGCGGCACTTGGCGCTTTTTATTTTGAGGGCGCACCTCTAGCCTTTGCACAACCAAGTGCGGACTGCAAGGCAGCAGGAAGTAATCCCTCGCCTCGGAAGTGAGGAGGTTTATGACTTTTGTTTTAAAAGGTCAGACACATCGACCTTTGTCACGACAGCGTCATTGGGCCTATACAGCTATAGACAGAAGCCAGGTGACTAGCCTGAATCCCACCCCACCTTGGTAGTGCCGCCGCCGTTTGTTCGCGATTGCTTATTTGTTGCGGTATGCCACAACAGATTCATTGCTAACCTTCTTCAATGAAGGTATCCCCCTATCCACAGCCCGGAGACGAGCCTGGTAGCATTCAGCTCCGCTTAACTCTAAGAATGTGACACTAAATGGTATATTCGGGAATCCGACCACAATCCGTACACATAGATTTGGTTAAAGTTCTGCTGGCTGCTTCCCTACTATCTATCACGATTTTGTTTCCCAAAGTTGGTTGAATGAAACAACAACTAACACAGTTGTTGAATTGAGTTGAAGCATGTGTATTGATGATTCGTAGTGTCTGTCATAGGCTCATTGCTAATTTCGTAGCAATTCACAGTTTAACATAACGGAGAAAAATATCACTTTTGGTCTGACCCACGAACAGGTCCTTACTAATGTCACTTAATGTTTACAGTTCCAAGTATTTTTGATGAGAATAGACTTAAACGACAATTTTTATCAAACATACAGAGAACACTTTTTATGTGGATAAAATATCAATCACTCAATCATAGTGAGACAAAATCCCAAGTTCTACAATTGTTGCAGATAGACCACTTTACATATATCCAAAATGTACCCCAGACTTAAGGCGTTTAGCATTGTCCAGAATTCGGGACAGTGCCAAGGTTTTAGATTTCTTTCCAGAGTCAATTCGATCGATATTCATGTCCAATGAGCTAGTCTGACTAACATTTCTCCTACTTTCATGCCACCAGTACGTACCAATAGTCTGCAACTGTCGGATTTTCTGCTCATTACCCGTTTGATCGGACTAGCCTAAATCGATGATCGACTTTAGCTGGATTATGGTCATTGGCCAACAGTGAACCGATCCTTCTGACCGATGTAAAAACATTCACTGGGACACAGGTTTACGAGCAGTCACCGAATGCATATTGCTTGGCGGTGAGCGTAAGCGGGAAGGATTGCAAAATGTACACAGAGTAGGTTGTATCGACATACAAAGCAAACGAATAGATCTGACACCAGACATCTGAGAGTCTATTATTACTCCCCTTTCCATGAACCCATTACTCCCAGTCACTTTGCACAAAGTGCCAAATACCACGATTTTGTGGCATCCAGAAAATACCAAAATTATGGAGACGTCTATTTCTTCATGTAAATCAAGATGATAATAGAAAATAAATATTTTCCAATAATGTCTGATGGTCACTTGTAAACTTTAATATCGCTTAAATATTTCAAACAATGTCATTACTTTTTACTAATTAAAATTTTTTTCCTCAATTCACTGCCTTCTCCATGAAGTAGCCGTTGGACGAGGGTGTTCTTTTACAAATCCCGTTCCGATTGACATGTTACTTTAAGCACCGCTAAATAACTCAATTAATCCAGCCTGGTATTTGGATTTGAGTAGATAATAATCCAGTGATTTTACCCTCCTACGGATTTCTGTTTGTTTGAATCAAGTAAATTCATCGATTTTCTGCGGGTAGGAAGAGTTCAACGTTTCTAAACTGTTACCAGTTTCTAAAACTTATCTTCCTAAGTCCACATAAAAAACTAAAGCCCAAGGAAGAAGGTAGATCACTGCTTAAAAGTGGGGACGCACCACTGATTATTTCCGTTGAAAGTCATAAAATTCGAATAAAGCGTTTCCTAACGAAATGACAAAGAGGGCTGTAAGTTTTCAACTTCAAAATTTAATCCCGGAAAAATGAACCACAAGTTGAGTTGAGTGATTTTTCTCAAAAAATAAACAAACTTCCAATTTATTCCACCGTCTCTGAACGTGAATCGTTAGGATAGCATATAAGAATACTCAAATGTCTCATATAAACATAAGCAACCTAAAAAAGAAACAATTAATCGATTGCGGTTGTGAAACGTTTCGATTATGACTAAGAAACCGGGAAATGCCCATAGTGGTGCGATTTACCTGATAGGCTGCCTTGATTGCTTGCCCATCTGTATGCCAAGTTCTCACCGTAGCCACGAGCTTCACTATGTTGCAGGCGACCGATCTTGGCCAAGTGACTCGCCCAGGCTTGTGCGGTTTTAGCCAGCTCGGCGTCGTACGAGATGTTTGGACAACCGTGACTGGATCGGAAACTGTGACATCGGATGATAACAGATTGTGAGACGCATACATTGGATAAACACAAATGAAAAACTGAGGCTGGTTTATCTTTGTACGAATAATTACAGTGGGAAATAGCACACACTATAAAACTAGATAAAGTTTTCAGATAATTTGAAGTTTGGTAAATGAGAACACCGAGAATATGAAATTAACTTTTTTAATTGGTCTGATGCCGCGAAAGAAATTTAATAGACCATGCTTTTGGACCATTTCTAGAACGCAGTATGCATTCAATCGATTTTAAGGGAATTATTTGAGTACTAAATCATCAAGTTTTATATCGACTAATTGATTTCGCATTTGACAATCGTCGTTCGTGTTTACTCCTCACATGAACAAACGAACATATGTCTTGTTGACCAACTGAAGAAATTTAAACCAAATTTGGTGAAATTTCGAATCTCATAATTTTACAATCAGGGCAGATTTGGAATCCAAGATGTAGAAAAAGAAACCGGCTAACATTTTTCCGTTGAAACTGGAAATATACCCGGCACGATGTTGCACCGTGAAAACGGTTTTTAAAGGATAGCATAAATCTTTTGGGTTCTGACACCTGGTTTATTTTTCACCTACTGTTACATGCTATTCTCTCACTTTCTAGCAAGAATCATAACCTTCATTACATGCTGATGACAATTTGATTTATGTACGACGACTACCGATGCAACAACGATGCTAAGATCTTGAAGATGATGCACGAGTAAAAAACGCCAATAACCACCACACTTTGTTACACGTGGGTGGGTGTACGGGCATCTCTTAGGGGACAAGATTTGGATTGGAGTCATACATTTGGGGATTTTTTGGTTCTTCACATCTCAACAGAGAAGAACAATGTGGCCCTAACACAAAAGAAAGTTGCGATACAGATAAATCAAGTTGCTGTTTCCAATAGCGAGCGAACAAGGCCTGACGGTATAAAACATTTGACTACGTGATATAAATTTCAAGTTAGGAGTTTTGTTTGGAGACCGCGACATGAAGACAGCCTAGAAAATTGTCTTTAACGTATTCGAAAAGCAGACCACTGTTCAGTTAAGATAAAACTTGAACTAAGTTAATTAGATTGTGTCAAGTGGATAATGGGTAAGGTTTTAGGTCGCGAATACACAGGTTAGTGGCATGTGTTAGTAAAACAGTGATATTTGGATGTGCGATTTATATTTTGTGTACAAAAGTTAGATTGAAGAAAAAAAAGGGTATTTTCAATCCGCTTTATTCATGGAATAAATAATAAAGAAATACACCAAACATATTGATCGGACGGACGGTGATCATTTTGTGTACTTTATGGGATCCCATGATAGCAAAAAGCAACATCTCCGAAAGGAATTGTTCCCGCTTTTCAGTAAACTAGTCATCTTTCACGTAAACAAACATGTAGAAACATCACCACCCATATGAGTTAAAACAATCCTGGGGTGAGCATTTTGGGGAACATAACGGCTGTGTTCAATAACCTTGATTGTTTTCTTCGTGAAGAGGCCACACTGAATAGATCAAACCTACCCCGGGGATATCGACTAGCGGGTACGGAATAGACATTCCAGCCTACAAACAAACTCAGTGTAATGCACAGTAAGTGAAAATAATTGCAATTTGCTTTGACATTCTCGGTGTTTTACGCACGATCAACAAGCACCAAATTACTTATCCACAATGGAGAGTGAAATTCTCTGATGATGAAAGTACTCTAAATATTGGCACATTTCAGATTAATTACACTCATCATTACGGCAAAATGTTTGTTTGAGGTGGTATGATGTTTGAAGGCTAGCTTTAAACTATGGCTGCGAGGAAAATATGCACTCAAGTTCGAACGGCTTACTCGTCGCCTTGTCACTCTACGGTTACTCAATGTCTCACTGATTATGCGTTTTGGACGAGCGAGATCGATATAAAAGGAGAAACTATCCACGCTTTTTAAAATCGATAACTCACTGTGAATGAATCAAAACCAGAATGGTTTTCCATTCCCATAAACCAAATTTTTGTTGGTTGTATTGTATTGAATTCATATGGTACAATAAAAAATTGTGTCACTACGCGGCTTACATTTTACCCCGTTCCCAATGTGACTGAGGTCTTACAAGCAGCAGAAACACCATGCGTGAAGTGTTGATGCATTGCCTGCGGAATGCGAAATTCCCGATTGAATAAAAATCGGTATCGCTGTTGCACTACCGTGGTAGAGCTATAAGTAAAACTGGTCATAATCGGAGCAGTCTTTGTCAATGAGACACTTATATACATCGGGTGATGATGTCGACCAAAAATAACCGCAAAAAACTAAAATCTCCAAGTAGTTTGTTCCTGCCATTCATGTATATGGATGTTCTGTTTCGCTGCTGCACACTGAGTAATGAGTCATGGGTAGTTAGTCCAATTTGAGGGGTTTGCAAATCTTCGAGCAGAAACGAAAGGACCATGGTTACCGCTAGGTTAATTAGGAAGTAGGGTGTATCGGACATCTTGTACATGTGAACGCCATCCAAAAGTCATCAGAGGCATTTGAACAGACGGAACAATGAGCTGTAACTTTTCTGCTTCAGGGTGAGATTTAACAACCATTGAACACGCAATTTCGTGTGCCGGTTTTGATTGCTGCCTCAAGACTTACCATGAAGACAGCGGTTGCAAGTGTACGGATTAGATGCACGAGCACCAATGTTTACGACACTCAGCTAGATCCCTCAGTGGCTCTAACTACTGATCACGATGATCGCGAGGTGCTCATCTAGGGAGCCTAATGCGACGACCCATATGACCACGTTCCCTGGTCAGGGCTTTCATTCCCTCATGTCAGGTTTTCGTTTGACCATTCTTTCTTGTTTCCACCAATCTCCACAGGTAGCAGACAGCTCACACGTGGCAATCTCTTCGGTCATATGTTACGACCAGGCAGCGCTTGTGAATCCGCGAGAGAATTATTTTGTCTGCCCCTAGCGTCCAAACACATTATTGCGTAAACAATCACATAATTAATTACAGGAAAAATGACCACATTAGCATAAATCACAAATGCTGGGCAGAACAAGAAACTTCAAACACAAATATTCGCGCGCGCACACACACACACACACACCGGGAATTAACAATCAAGCAAATCGTGGATTGACGTTTTGGTCGAGGAATAATAGCATCATAAAATATGTAAAAATCTGAACCTATTAGGGTAAAAGACGCTCTGTAACACTACATTCGAACAAGCATGCGCAGAGTAAAATCTGCATGTATTTCGAATTTTCAAAGTGAGATCCACTGCAGTTTACATAATCTCCCCCAGCGGTCCAAAGTCAGTACTGATAAAGATTTGTGATTAGGTGCTTGCAATGGAGAGCTTTGCAAAAACAATATAATATTAATAAATATTTTGTCCATGATTGCGACAGATAGGTCATCGTCAATCCATTTCGCGTATTCGCCAAGCTTGGTAATTTGTTTGCATCAGTACACTGATGATGTCACCTCGATTGGTGTGATGAACCGCTTGCAATCAAATTGTCAAGCTCGGCGAACAGGCAAAATGGAATTCAGTTCACCCGAGCTATTAGGACCGATTTTCAATACTTTTTCAACAGGTCATGGCCATATTTTATAATCTTGAGAACACATATAGTTTGTACCAGAATATCTGACTACTGATGTAAATTCAGTTCTTCACAATTGGCGACCGTTCACGTTCATGAATTGGTTTTGGTAACTACCTTCCGGTGCTATTATCCCAGAGTAGCTTCAAGGTGATGAGTTTATGTGAGCATTAACAAGTTGGACGTGGATGTGGATTATGAAAATATATGTGTGTATGAATGTGTGCAGACAGTGACATGAGCTCCACTGTATAAGACATTCGGTCATACATAACTAAGTCACGTGACCAAGATTTTCACCACTCTCTGTTACGTTTTCTCCGGCCTATAATATCGTCATTCGTGACTGGAAATATCAGGTAATATATTAGCCCGACCTAATCCATTTCCATAAAATACATTCTTGCGTTTGTCAAATTTTTCTAAATAGATGAGCCGAAATCACTAAGAGTCAATGGGGAAGATCAAAACGCTCAGTAGCCACATTAGCCAATGCTGATAACAGGCCGTATTGAATTCAACTATTTCACCATAATCTCATCCACTTTGTACACACCCATTTTGGTTGAAAGAGTGACCGGTTTGGTGGCAAGCGAACAAACACATCCGGGGAAGAAAAATCAATAAATAAAATTCAACATATCCTGTGTTCATCAGGTATCGTATTGCTCTGATGAAACCGTTATGGGGTTACTGAATGCACACAATTAAATTGTGCACCTAATAATTTGCTGAAAAACTCAAGTGAGAGAACAAAACAGATGTTCCTTCTGAAAGTGACAACCTTTCAATTCCTTTGTTTTGTTCTACCGTTAAACATGTGCTAAGCAAACAGATAATTGCTCCAGTGGTCAGAAAAAAAAACAGATTTCAAATTCGGGAGATTACTATACTTACCCCACATGTAAAGCTCTTTTTCTAGATCGAAATTTCATTTATTTATCTGCATCGGACTGATCTGCCTTTGGCATGCAAACACATTCAGAGGTGAAAAATTATTTTCATTGATTCATCTACTAGCCTGTACAGATCAAATAAAGAAATGGCATGTTGAACGGTGTTCTAGGGGCGTGAATAACTTCGCGTCCCCGATTTCTCTCGCTGTCAATCAATCATCGTGACTTTTGAATGACTGAAGGACTATCCCCGTGCAACATTCCATTTCATTATTTGATCTGTACAGGCTAGAAGATGAATCAATGAAAACAATTATTCGCCTCTGAATCTGTCCGCATGTGGTGGTGGTAGCGTAGTGGTTTAGTCGTTGTCACCGGCGTGCTTTGGACCCTATGGTCCGAGGTTCGAGCCCCGCCACCGCCACCCGACTTTGGTGGTAGGCAGCTCTGCTGTCGTCCGGTTCAATACCACGCCTAACCTAGTGCGGGGCCTTATGTGGTTCGCCACTCCAAGTTCCGGGGCTTAGGTTGCCGATTTCAATCACTGAACAGCAGGTCCTTGGGACTATGGGGTTTACCCCGTCTGCTGTTGATCACACCTAGGTGTGTAATAAAAAAACTATCAAAATGGGCATATTCTGGAATTTAATGTTTTTCATATATACTGTTTTATGAACAAAATTGAAATTTCTAACTCCCTTATTCACGAACAACTGCCGTTCAGTAACGAGAATCTTCTGCCCAGTCCGTGAGCTCAAGAGCGGTGGATGGCACGAAGGGTGCTAATGAATCGAGAGAGAGTTCAGCGAAGCAGAATATCGGGCTGGATTATCATATTTTTGCAGCATTAACAAACAATTTTACCGGAGGGGTTTCTGAATACCCAGTCACATTTAGTAATGAGCCTCATGG